GTGGAAAACTCACCGCGAGGCGCAGCTGCTGGGAAGCATCTCGAGGCTGGAAAACCTCTGGGAGCCGACGAAAGCGCCTTGAGACCGACGATGTCTTGACGACGACGACGACGACGACGACGACGACGACGACGACGACGAGGACGACGACGAGGACGAGGACGACGACGCGCGGGGCGCGAAGCGCGACTCCCTCCGCGCCCCTGCGGGAGGCGCGAGGCGCCAACACCTCCGCGCCCCTGCGGGAGGCGGCCTCTCCTTGGGGGCGCCGCGCCTCGAGGCACCGAGCCGGCGGGCCCGGCCGCGGGGGGGCTCGATGGGGGCCGGCGCCGGTCGCGAGGGGCGGGGGCCCTCTCCGCCAGGGCTGGGCGCCCAAACGCCGTGTTTCGTTGTCTTGTCGTCCTGTTGCTCGTGTGGCTCCGCCTGTCTTCCTCCGCATCGGGTGCTGCTCAAGGTGCCCCCTGGCCCAAGGTGTGCCCAGCTTTTCGCTCCATCTTCATCTTGGAGCCCCCGGGGCCCTCTGGGCCCTCGTGAGGGGGTGCTCTGGGGGCCGCCTGGGCCACCCCGAGAAGCCTGGGGGTACCCTGGGCCAGGGGCACTTCTAGCAACACCCGACTGCACCTACCTGTCAGAACGAAAAAAAACACGAAAAAACACAGCCGAAGTCCTGTGAGTATCGTGAAACCACCTGTGAGTATCGTTGAACCGATCCCCATCCCCGGCGGCGTGGCCTGGGCCCCGCTGGCCGATTGACCCCCCGAGATGAGGATATAGGTCGTTCCCTTCGGGTTTCGAGGGGTGTATCCCCAGCTGGGGTGGTGATTGGGTGGGGGTCTCGAAGGGGATGGGGATGGGGATGGGGATCGGTCGAACGATACCGAACCTGTCCTCCCTACACCTGCCTGCCAGGACGAAAATTCCAAAGCGAAGCCCGGCGTAGCGCTCAGGTCCAGCCCTGCTCGGCGAGCAGCCGTGCGGCCAGGGCGAGGGCCGACGGCTGGAGCCGGGATGGCGGGGGGGGGGGTCCAGAGGCCTGCACGTCGGACCTGCAGGCCAGGAGAGCATCCTTGAGAAGGGGCCCTGGGACACGCAAATAAGTAGACACAAGGAGCAGGATTCCCTATATTT